ATGGGCCCAACACTTACACTAAGTGGTCCCTGGGCCAAGCCACCTTGTAACACCCAGGGACTGTGGGCAGATGCAAGATTAGCCCATCAGGTGTTATCCTCAATGGTCTTACACTTAACCTCTCAGCCCATAATGATCATACACTGCCCGACAAGAGAGGACCTCTCCCTCGACTGCAAGTGTAGACAATAAAATCATCATTTACAAAGAAATCGATTGTTGGACATGATTTATTAAGTTTAAAAAAGAAGAATTTAAGAGTAAGATCGTAATAGAATAAGAAAAAATATTGTATATGAATTTTTTTTGGACTAAAATTATCCTCTATTTCTTTGTTTGAGAAAAGGTATAAAAGTCATTTTATTATACCTTAAATGCTAGCTTTAGTGGCTACTTAAATGCCCATATTTGTGTATTTAGTCTATCTCTAATTGTAAAGGTTGAAAATATAACTTCAATTATTACTTTCCATTTCATTTAATCCCCTCTCATTAAGTATTATTCTTAAAGTATTAAATCTCATTTTCTCTTATTAAATCCTATATTTAAATTATTTTCACTAATAAATGCTACTAATTAGATCTATGTCAATATTTGTAATAAAATAAATATATATATATATATATTAAAACTGACTCAAAAACAAAACAATTCTTTATCCAAGTGGTGGCTAAGCAATTCAACCATCCGAATCAAATTAATCAACCTATGGAGTCATACTTAGGTAATAAAACATTTAAAATAGAAATGAACAAAGAAAATTACAAAAATGTAAAAATAATAGGCACATTTATGATATTTTTATTAATCAATAAAAAAATAAGTGTAATAAACAAGAATTATTTTTATTGATAATGAAAATGAAATATATAATTTATAAGTAGCCAAAAATGAAATATAAAAATTAGTAATAAATAGTTCAACTTTTGGGTTAAATGTGTTAACCTTTAATGTCATAAATAAATAATAAAAATTAACAAAATATAAAAATGAAATATATATTTTTATATCAACCTTTGCAAAAAAAAGCATTTAAGCACATGTATAATATCATATTAAACAAAAAGTATATTAGAATTATTTTTACACACAAAAATATAAAAGAAATTCAACACATCTATAATTCTATATTTACACTACTATTACAAATATGAATAAGATTGTGAAACTTTCTTTTGACTAAAATACATACTCATTTTCTAATTTAGTCCCTATTTAATTGTAAGGTTTTAAATTGTAAATTGAACTATTACTTTTCACCTCAACTCTCTTTATTTAAATCTTGCATTTTTTGATAAATGAACAAAAAAAAAAGGATAGATTAGAAAGATAAACATTACAAAATGAAGAATCTAGTTGAGTAGGTAGGCAGGCCTGCCAATGATATTTGAAACTTCACAATTAGATTTGATTACCACATATTTGGATGAGGTATTTATCTAATCAGATTTGGACCTTGCAATTTGCATCCGATTAATAATAAAAAATAATAATAGAAAATTAAAAATACATAAAATTTATAGAAAATTTTGGATATACTATTAATATCATTATCGCCATCTAGAATTGTCATGTGCAAAGCATGTGCACACTTACTAGTAATAGAAAATGATAAAGAGTGAGTGGGTTTTAGGAATGGCAATGGGGTGGATTCGAGGTGGGGCAACCCCTCCCCATCCCTGTGGGTGGGGTTGGTTCGGGGTGGGGCACCTTCCCATCCCCGATAGGGAATCTTTGAGTTTTGCTCGCCTTGAGGCAATTACCGAAAAATACATGGGATATTTTAGAAATATAATTATGAGAATTTGGGGCATTTTAAAACTTGGATTATGGAATACTAAAGGTTTTAAAGAATTTAGGGAAAATTTTAAGGATATTTTAGAAATTAATATGAAACATAAGCACATTTTTAATAATTACTATGGGTGGGGTGAGTTCAAGGTAGGGGTGCTCACGGTTCGGTATCGAACCATGGGCCTATTTTTCAAACTGAACTGGTATTACCAGTTTCTAAAAAATCAGTAATTGAAACCGAACCAAAGCCAACCGATTTATTGATTAACTGATTCAGTTAACCATTGGTTTAGTTCATTAATTTTTTGGTTTTTTATATTTACAATATATTATAAAAAATATATAAATAATAAAAAACTAGCAATATATAAAATATTATATTTATATATATAGTGCATATTTATTAATTTAAAATATATATAATATAAATAAAATATATAAAAATATATGTATACTGATCAGTTTTCTATATATATATACCCCCCCCCCCCCAACTCAATTAACCAGATTTTCGATTTGGTTTAAATTAGTTTTTCGGTTTTTCTCGCTCAAACGCTAGCTCTAGGAATTATATGCAAATCCCGTCCTTATCCCATCCATTCCAGGTTCAGAGCAAAAATAATTTTCCATCTCCGTTTAAGATCGGGAAAAGCCGCCCAATTCGCGCCTCGGGGGGTTTACATCCAAATCCATTCATGAAGACAATTAGGATCTAGTAGTTGACCAAACCTCAACAAAAATGTTTAATTCTATAATTGGTAGGACTTGCTCATAAACAATTTATGGAGTGTATGATTTTGTTTTTCAATAAAAAAAAGCAAATATCACATAACTGTTTTCGATTTCAAAAAAGCAAAATCATAAGTAATGGCCAATTGTATCAAGAAAAGAAACAAAAGCATTAAGCATTCTAACAAAAAAACTTCTCTTGAATCTGTAAACAGTACTATTTTACACAAATAACATGCCTCATTTTGGAGAACAAGCTGAGAGAGAGAGAAAAGAAAAAGCTCTAAGATTAGTTGTATTGTATCAGTAGCAGACTAGAACTTGAAGGGAATAACTACATTAATTAACCAACTCTAAAACTAAAAGAAAAGGAACGAAGGGAAAGGAGAACGAAGGAAGAAGGAAGAACCAGTGAATGGAGTAAATCAGTCGTCTTCACCAGCCCTCCTGACAAGCACCAAGTACCCAAGAAGCGCACACACGGCAGCCACGATATTCCCTTCCCTGATCACAACTTTGATGGCAAACCCCGTAATATCTGCCGTGATCTTCCTTCCTTCTAGCACCAGAGACCGGCGAGGCTTTCCGCAGAAAGTGAGGAGCACCAGCACAGTAATCCATGTCACAACGGTTGCAGGGACGGCAACGGCCAGCGCTGCCACCATAGAAAGCAGACCGAACAAGGCGCCGAAGAGCACCGAGGCGTAAAGAGCCGGCCACCCAGCAGCTCCAGCTCCATTAGAAGAAGTGGAAGAGACGTTGGAATTGTACCAAGATAGAATGGAACGGAGGAGGTTCCATGACGAAGACAGAAGAAGAGCGTACACCAACACCAACAGACACGCCCATGTTCTTCTCTTGCTCATCAATCTCCTTAACAAAACCCAGGTCTCTGAGTCTGAGGAACTACTTTGCCCTTCTTCCTCTTCCTTCTTTTCTCCTTCGGAGTCTTCTGCCACCGAAGCTTGATTTCTTCTGTTCATTACGTTGATTTGCTCTTTGTTTTATTCTGATTTCTTTTCTGACAAGGGTTTTGGATTGGATTGGATTTCCAGGGGACTGGGGTTCTGCTGTTTCAAACAGGCCAGGCCACTCAGAAGTCGGAACAGAACAGTGAACTTTTTGGGTGGAGGTCATGAGAGGAGCTTTGGTTGGTTTTGATCAGATGTTGCTGACATCCTTTACCCTAAGAAATCCCTGTCTATGTTCGAAATGACAGCTCGGTAGTTAATTCGTCTCGGCCTCTCTGTTTTGGATAGTGATGGGATGAGAGCGCTCTCACTCGACAACCCTAAAGTCATTTATCTGGCTTCTGGGTTCTGGGTTCTGTTTTGGATAGGAATGTTGATGAGTGACTCTCACTCTCAGTGAGAGCGTTCTCATCGGTTGGGCGCTCTTTTCTAATGGAATCATGAAAGTGTCAGAGGCGTTCAGGATCAGGAATCCCGTAGGGAGTAGGGACGGGACCAACACCAGCAGGCAGCAGTCACCGTTCTCACCGGTCAGTCCACGATAAAAGAAAAAAAGAGGGAAATTGTCTAAAATGACCATGTATTTTTAATATTTCTCTTAAATTCACAACTTTTTAAAATGTGTAAAATTAACCATATTTTATTTTTCAAAACTCATCTTCCATTAGTGCACCGTTAATGTTTCTGAACAGAGGTGTCTATGTCAGCATAAATAACAATTTTTATGACCAAATTACCCTTGAATGGCGAATTAGAGGAAAATGGTCTTTTCAGTTTTCATTTTTCTTGTTTTTTTTTTTGCACTTTTAGTGTTTTGTTATAATTTCCAATGTTTTTTATAATTTCTATTTTTTACATTTTTCTATTTTCTACAATCTATAATTTTTTCTATATTTTTGTTATTTATTTACAATTTTTGTGTTTTTCTATAACTTTTTGTGTTTTTTCTACAATTTTTATTTTCTGAAATTGTTTTTCAATTTCTATGATTTCTATAATTTGAAAATAATTTTTTATTTTGTTTGCAATTTCTATAATTTTTAATTTTTTTTGTAATTTCTATGTTTTTATGTATTTTATATTTGAAAATATTTTTTGAACTTTTTCCTTTTTTCATGTCTAAATATTAAAATGGTAATATATTAACACCCATTAATTTATTTTGTATATATTTTATATTTTTCTGTGAAGGTTAAAATGGTAATATATTAACACCCGTTAGTCTGTTTAATGTCAAGTTAGTAACATGGTGAGTTTTAGACATTTTGAAAAGTTGTGGTGAGTTTAAGAGAAATGCTGAAAATTCATGGTGAGTTTTAGACAATTTCCCCAAAAAAAGGAAAATTTCCTATTAGTATACTATACTTTGGTTCGAGTGACAATTTGGTCCGCAAACTTTAAAATGTGACAATTCAGTACATGAACTTTCAAAATGTGACAATTCAGTATCCGAACTTTAAAATGTGACAATCCAGTACCTAAACTAGTCTGTTAAAATGTGACAATCTCAAATCCTAAACTCTTCTATTCAAAAAAGTTGATCATTGTTTAGATGAATCTAGAATTTGGGACTTCATTTTATTGTTAATTTTTTGGATGGTTGATAAAGAGAATTAGAAGACATTTTTAGGGCATTTTTTACTTTTCAAATGTCACTTAACGGCTGATTAACGGATTGGTTAGTGATAGGTATTGGATTGTCACATTTTGAAAGTTTGAGTACTGAATTATCATATTTTAAAAGTTCGAATACTGAATTGTCACATTTTAAAGTTCGTGAACCAAATTGTCATTCAACTCAAAATACAGGGTACTGATAAGAAATTTTCCCCAAAAAAAAAATATTGGGTAGCGCTTAACAGTGGATAAAGGCGTGATAATGGCATGAGATAAACTTATACTTTTTTTCTGGGTAAAATATGAATTATGAATACAAATCTGAACAAAATGACTTATTGTTTTGTCTATAGTGAAATAAGTCATTCAGTTAAGCAATTCAGCTGTTATCAAAAGATGAATGAAGCTGTGGCCTGTGGAGATGCTTTGTGTGCTATTTTGATTTATTAGGTTGGTAGAGAGAGAGAGAGATTGCCAGATTTATTTATTTAAGTTTATGGGAGAGCGGTGCAGTCTGCAGATAATGGGAGGAAAAATTTACTACTGAAAGCTGGCCAAGGACAGACTTGGGTTGTCGAGTTGAATTCAGCAATAAAAGTGGCAAGTACCAAGTACCAGATTATAATAGGTAATAGCTATATGCTGCTGTTCCTTGTATTTGTATTTTAGCAAAACAACACACCCATCCTAATTAAACCATCGACAACTACTCTATTTAACTGCATCAATTATGGTGTAGGTCAGTTGGCATTGGCAATCCTCTAATTGAAGATGTGTGGATTGAAACTTAAGCCCTGGAGAAATAGAATTTATTTTCACCCCTTTCACCTGTTGTCTTCAGTACAATTGCAATCAAAGGAAAAGGTAGTTTCAATAGCAGCCAAGAGCCTAATACTAATTACCTAAGAGGCTAAGCCAAAGGAATAGCTTAGATTTGTTGAAAAAATTTATTCCATAGCTGCTACCATAGATCTTGAACTTACCAGAAACTGTACAGTGTTAAGATGGTCTCCAGCAAATGTCTAGCAACATGTCCACTCCCCACCACACACTTGTTTTCTGTCACCAATTTTTCTCTCTAATCCTTGGAAGTCTATCCCAACTTGCGTTTCACCCCTATTTTTCAGTATCACCACTTGTACAATTAATGAAGTAATGCAATCAAAGAGGATATTTGTTATAAACGTTTGAACTTCAGAGTATGATTGTTTCTCCAAATAACCCCCGAATTCCTTCGGGTTGTGAGACACATTAAAATTCAATACAATACAATACAAAATAAGTCTTGAAAATGAAAAAAATAAAGAAAACCAAAAAATTGGAGGGAGGGGTCAAACTTCTTGAATGAAAAAAAAAAAAGAAATTCTATTC